GGAGGAGGGTCTGGAACATTATCATTAGCATTGGCCTGGCGGCCTCGTCTTGGTCCGGGAGGTACAAGAGGCACCTCATCCTCTCCAATTTCATCAACCTCCTCCCCCGCAAGCACATTTCCAAGAGGGTCATTCGCGTTTAAAGCCATTTGGTAACTGTAGTAATCACACACACAAATTAGTAAATAAGAAGGAAAGAAGAACAACACACAAAACTAACTAAATAGATAGCCAAAACCGTTAGCTCCCCGGCAACGGCGCCAAAAAGTTGATCGCTGCCAACTCCACACTACAATAAAGTAGGAAGAGGGGGTCGCAATAGCTTTTACCCGATATGAGGGTCGGGATCGAATTCCTCAGAGAGCTAGAAATTGGAGCTGGGTATCTATCTAGACTAGAGTCGTGTAATTGTTCTAGATGTCACTTCCAGCAGTTTTGGGTTTTTCAATTATAAACTACTATTATCAAACTACAAATTGAAACTAGATTATGCTACGAAATAATTGCTAAGGTTGTATCTAATGGGAAGAAGGGCACTAGGGTCGTGACATCACCTAGGTGGCTAATTGACGGGTAGATGCTACTAAGGTTCAATTGACATAATTGGGGCTTATGCTATAACCGTTGCACAATTTTACCCACTCTCACACCTCTCGGTAGAGAGAGTGATTTTGCCTAATTGGCTCTCTTGAGACCAAATGGGTAGGCAAATTAGATCAAGCAACTAGGGTTCAAGTAGGGTGATTACTCTCTCGAGGTTTAACCCGTTAATTGGGACTATCATTTCTCATGAGTCCATCCCAATTCCTTGTTGGGTCAATGTTGGGAGACTTAGACTCTCTTTCTCAAGAAGAGTCAAATCCACAAAGCATAAATCAGTGTTTGCAACCACCAATTCATAGACTAAAATATAAAATCAACCCAAATAGCAAACACACATAGTTAATCTAACCCTAGATGGCAACACCCATCAATTACCCACACTAGGGTTGAGCCACAACCCTAGCTAATGGGTTTAGCTACTCATTCTTGAAGAAGAAAATGAAGAAATAGATGAAGAACAAGACATATTAATTAAATGCTAAAACAAAATACAAGAATCTATCGTTAATTTGAAGCTAAGATGCCAAAAATGGCTACAAATGATGTTCTCACGAGCGCAGCTACGTTCTGGAATTAACTGATGACTTAAAAATGGTAAAATGTTCTATTTATACTAGGCTGGAAAAACTGGACAAAAATACCCCTGCGGGGTCAGTGCGGGCCGCATGAAATGGACCGCGGCTGCACTAGGCTCTTTGACTTCAATTTTGGGCTCTCTGAACTTGGGCTCCGTGGGCCGCTTAGAGTGGACTGCGGCTGCGGAGGCAGCTGGCGCGGTCCGCACAATCACGACCGCAGACCGCATGGCTTGGACTTGGCATAATTCCATCTCTCTGAATCTCTTGTCCGCGGACTGCACAAAAAGGTAGTGCGGTCGCGGAGCCTTTAGCGCGGACCGCTAAATACGTACCGCGGCCGCTTTGCCTAAAGCCCACTATTGTCAACTCTCTGAACCATCTAGTGCAGCCGCATTCGACTTTGCACGGTCCGCGCTAGGCTTGTTTGCCCTCAGTTTACTTGGTCTTTGATACTTGAGCAGGTTTCACTCCTTTTGAGCCGATCCTTGACATTTCGTCACTTTGTCGATCAAACCTGCAATCAAGCACAACTTATGAGCCTTTTGGGACTATTTTGTAACAATTTATATTCAAAGCATAGGCAAGTAGGAGCATGAAACACGTTAAAATCCCTACTTATCAGTGCTTCCTCTGAAACTGTGCCAATGCCTTGGTGGAACAGTTGTTCAATTGATTCATTAGCAGGAGAGGGAGTTGCATCTTCAGGAGCAGAATGCTCTGATTCAAGTATGGAAGGATCAGCAACGGGAACAGATTCATCGTCAAATACGACCCTCCTTCTTCGCAACCTCCGAATCAGCGAACCCTCCTCCTATTCTTCCTCATCCTCCAAGGTCTGTGACCCACTTGCCTTCTTTTTTGACAAAGAGGAGTTAACAATGATTTCTTGGGCCTTAGCCAAAGAAAGTTTTGATGCGGACACAGCAGCAGCAGAGATTCCACGAGCAGGAAACCCTAACAAATGAAAGGGATCAGAAAAGCTAGAAAAGAAAAACAAAGGAAATAAAAAAACCTTACCATGGGTTTTCACCTTCCAACCAAACTTCGACGAGAGGAATTTCCAAGAACGTTCTTCCATAGGAGCGATCAACAGTAATTTTTCTACCCAATCACGGAAACCGGAGATTTCCTCGACGGTTCCCATAGTTGCTGCAAAAGAAAAAGAAATAGTCACGGTACTGGTAACTTATCAAAAATAAAGAAAGAAAGTGAGTAAAATTGTACTCACGTGCAAAGTTCCACTTCTCAGGAAAGGGGAGATTTTCTTCACCTACCAAACCTGCAGTAGGGACAGCAACATATCGGACATACCATCCTCTATCCTTGTCATCATCAGGTATAACTATAACCCTTTTACTCCTAGCCGCGAGAGTAAAAACTCCTTGGCGGAATAGCATCGGGGAATAGAGATGAATCAGGTGATGGAAAGTAAAAGGAACTGAAGTTAAATTGGCCAAATACCTAAGGCATGCAACTGCCCTCCAAACAAGAGGACCGATTTGTCCCAAACAAACATTGAAGAATCGACAGAATTCTATTAACCCATGGTAGATGGGAGGCTTAAATCCTAAAGTAAAGGGATAAGTGTACACAAAAGAATACCCAGTTCTGCAAGAAGTTATTCTCTGATTGTCATTAGGAACTACGATTGGAAAATCAGATTTCCAACAGCAATCTCTATGCACAAGTGACACTAAACCCTCTGCTATTTGGGTAGGATAAAGGTCAGCACGATCATGCGATGACATGGAAGAAAGATGCTTACTAATGGCCTCACTATCCTTTATAAAACAAAACTCGGCAGGAACAATTTCATAAACTCTTGGCTCACGAAGTGGTTCGTTAGGTTCCCTACTCTTAGAAGAAGATCTAGAAGCCCTAGCCCTCGAAGAAGACGAAGAAATACTAGGCTTAAATGTCGGAGGAGTAATATTACGAGAAGAAGAAGAACCCCTGGAAGGTGTAGAACTTAAACTTCTTAGCCTACCACCCCTCCTAGGAGATAGTTCGTCTACAATGATAACTTTTTTGGGTTGCTGGCTTGAAGAAGACATATTTACGACAAAGAAGAATTTACAAACACTGAATGAGAGTTAGAAGTTTTTCGTAAAGAAAAAGGGGTATTTATACTCAGAGGCGACCGTCAAAAGAGAAAAAAATGGAAAAAGTGGTGATGTGAAAGTCATAATTGAAACTGTCACTTCCTAACTGATGTAGCCGCAAAAAGCCTTAAAAGGCGCTGAATAATTGCAGAACCAATATGAGAATGCCACGTGGCTCGAGCATTAAATGGAAGTGACAAGCGACACATACATTCAAAGACGGATGCGACGGTACGAATGAAGTGGCGGCAAAAAATTCCCGCCATAAATGAGTATCCACTTACCAAATATTTAATCGATAAATAAATAGTAAGTGGGGGACTATATGTATTGGTAAAAAATAGACTTCACACTGTGTAATATTTCTTATGACAAGGCGATCCATGTGGAGCAATAGAAACATGACAGCTGGTCACAAATTTACAAAGAGGTATGAAACAAAGAGGAATGGAACAGCATATCCACGATATAATTAGATGCGGGAACCTCAGTCTAATTAAGGAGTTGAAGAGACACGGTCAGAATGAACCAAGGCAGAATAAAGGGCAGATTCAAAGATCTTCCAGCAATGAGCCATACGTTACATAATCTTCACGCAACAGTTACGATTACCTATTGTAACGTTTTATTAATGATATTATTAGTCATTAATGTTCAATCATTAATGAGAGTAGGCGTTATATTAAGAAATTCCCTATAAAAGGGAAGAAAATATCACTTGTAGAGACACGTTTGAACTACTACTAAAATACATTTACTTTTATGCATTCTTATTGCTTTCTTATTGCAAGTCTAATTATTTCAATCTAGCTTTCTTGATTATCAGTAACCCGAGTTCTTCTCAAAATTAAGCTTTGACCCGAATTTCCTATTTTCTGGTTAAACACCATCTAATTTGGCAAAAAATCACAGCTATCACAAGTGAACATCTACAAAATAACTATCACAAAGTTTTATTGTTCATTCCGTCATTGATCAATCTATTATTCAATAGGCGGCTTTGTCATTGTCCGATCACATCCCAAATGTACGTAGTTTTGTAGCAGATTGTTTCGGTAATTAATTACACGAGTATTTCAAAGCAACTCAACTCTTCACCAAATTACTGTGCCATGATTGTTACAGTAACTTGGGACCTCAGGCTTATCTTTCTATTAAGGCTTGGAACATGAAAAATGCCGAAGAGATGGCCATAAATCGAAAACAAAGGTCCCTACATTTTGTGTGGTGAACAAAGTTGCCACCAGGGCTGAAACTCATTTATTTGTTATTTTCTTGAATATACTTTTCTTTTCTTGAATCAAGGCAGAGACGGAGCTAGGATTTTAATTTTATGGGTTCTAAATTTTGGAACCATGACTTCAAGTGCCAATAATTGGGTTCTAATTTTAATATTTATACATATTCGATGAATTTCTTAACACAAATAAACTATTTTGAATAAAAACTACTAGATTCGGCCGAGTCTGTAGCCGCACTTCTAGCTCCGCCCCTGGTCGAGGGTCTAACGAAATTAATCTCTCAATCTTTACAAGGTAGAGATAAGGTCGGCGTACACATTACCCTCCCCATACCTCACTTGTGGAACTATATCGGATTTATTGTTGTTGTTGTTATTCTCTTGATTTTAGTGTCATTTGTGTCCCTTATATTCAAGATTTGCTTAGTACCCACCACATTATTAGCCTTACTATATTGTATAAATTGTCACAAGAATCACAAGCCAACCAACATCTTTCTCATTGACTAGCTTTCTGTCTCTTCATCTGCTTAGATCTACTACGTAACACATTATTGTCTTCATCTTTCTCGAAAGGCCAAAGACACGAAATTTTGGCCTATTACAGACAAGATTCATAGTTTCCTTCTATGTTGTCCATTTGACAAACAAATTTTGTCGCACTATTGTACAGTCTAGAGAATCTAGTCTCTCTAAAATATATATATCTAGTCCTAACATGCAGGTGAGTTAGCTTTCTATTTTATTTTATTTTCATAAATATATCCAATATTTTGTTCACATCTAACTTTGAGCATACACATAACACATATATAATAGATCCTTCAGTGGCTTTTCAAGAATGCAAATGAGACCAACTCCAACATCACTTCAAGCAAGAAGGAAGCTATTAACGGTGAGTAAAGACAAATTCATTCACTATCTTGTATTACATCTTGGGGTTAAGTTTTGTATATTAAGATTTTTACAATGTCAATAAAATTTAACTGGTTATAGCAGACTACGGTAAAGTTAACTTCGTATGACCTATAGGTCGCGGGTTCGAGCCATGAAAGCAGACACTAATGCTTACTAGGGTAAGTTGTCTACATCACACCTCTATGAATGCGGCTCATCCCTGAACCATGCGTGAATGGAGGATGCTTTATGCATCGAGCTGTCCTTTTTATTTATAGAGCAGTCTACCATATTAAGCTTCATATAAAGAGTTATCTATTGTTATATATCGATTTACATGATGATATAAAAAAGTTACGCACCATCACTGCAGAGAACTTAAACTCTTACTTTTTCATGTTATTTTTGTGATCCAAACTCCTTAAAAGTTTGTTAATTCGGCTTCTATTTCAGATCAGGAGGTAAAATCCAAAGAAATTGTCCAGTGTGGGATTTCTCCAAAAAAGAGAAGAGCTGGAAAATTAGCAAGATCGAGCTGCAAGATTTTCAATGTGTTAAATATATTACGTAGAAGAGACATTGCCGCAGACTATTTTGTTAGCACAATTAATCTAAAGAGATTGGGAAGTACTTCTCGTAGAAAACAACGTTTTGTCCATTGTATTAAGATGAAAAAACAGAGTCTAAGTCGTGGATTAAGCTTTCATCGAAAGGCAGATTCAGCCAAAGTTTTACCCGTAACTGAGGCAGTTGTTACACATAGAAATGGTAAGGAGCAAAGTCCAAGTGCAGAAAAGAAAGAAAAAGCTAAAGGGGATAAAATCAAGACAATTTCAAAGATGAAGGAGCTAATAAGATGGGCTGCTGCTGCTAAATCTGAAAAGGGAGGAAAATACTTCGGCAGAAAGGTGAGATTTCTTCGTAGAATTTAACTTATATATGGTGACAGTAATTTATTTGAGCAATTACTAGGGTTTTACTTATTTGACCATTACTTTTGACTGTTTTTAGGCGAGCTAACAATGTTCACGTTATTCACACGTATAGAAGTTAAAACTTTGATAGATAGCCCTAGTAACAACAACCACTAATCATTTTTTGTTATTTTGAAGCCCTAGGTTGAAATTCTTGAAGAAACTAGGGCTATTAGCTTAAGCTTTAGTCGCCATTATTATTTATGAAAAATAAAATACTTCGTAGAATTATTTTCTTATATTCAAATTATAATTGATTGTACGAATTTAGTTTCTTAAAATATATATATATATATATATATATATGTTGTAGTACGCTATCTTATATATTATGTCTACGAAGAGAACCAACCACGTAGTATCACTTGACTTGTATGTATCTTATTTCAAATTTCCACGACCACATCCGGCTAATATGTAAATGAATTAGATTCAATTAATTTTTCTTAGCTTAGACAGTAACAGACTTTACTGTACCCAACTACTATATGTTAGACTTTTTATGTTATCACTATTAAGTATGCCTTGACCAAGGATATGCCCTATAAAATCGCCCGAAACATCAAACAAAAATATAGGATGAAGGTAGGCAGCCCAGTGCACCAAGTATTTGAAGGGTTCGGGGAAGGATCGCACATCAAGCCTATCCTAATGCAAGCATTAATAGCTGCTTCTACAGCTCGAACTGATGACCTACATGTCACACGGAGACAATTTTATCTGTTTTATATTTTCGAATAACTAATTCCACATATTATTTGTATTTATCTTTTACATGACCTGATAATATGCAGGTTTTGCAGTTGCGCGATAGGTCAGTATTAAAGGCAGTACCAGATAATGATCAACTAAGTAATGACTCCCCAAAAATCAGCTTCAGATGGGATGTTGAAAGTTGCTCCACTATTTCATCTGCAATTTCAGTCTCTTCTTTGACAAAAAATGAACATTCTATCAATAAACCTCGTTTAAACTCAACTCTGGTTCATATAGATCAGTGCCCTGCTGCAGCTAGAAAAGGGAATTGGGTCACCACAGATTCTGAATGTAAGCGTCCTTAATCCATTTACAATTTACGTTTGTGAAATATTTTTACACTATGAAACCATTCAAATGATACTTACATGTGCCTATTCATAATTAAGTGAAATTAGTAACTTGAAAAAATAAGACAAATAACCTTCTATACTTGGTTACATTTAGAAGTATCAAATGTACTGCCGGCTGGTCAAATGGGTTAAATCAACAACCGGTTATGACTCTACTCTTTCAAAATTTACTTGGGTCAATCATAATCCAATTCGCCCAACATGATCTAAATAATACTTTTTATTTACTTTTTGAATTTGTTTTGGTTAAAACTAATATATATATATATATATATATATATATATATATATATATATATATATATATATATTTGGAATTATCACCTTAAGTTCTTTTATATTTACATAATTCCCTGGTCTCCAAATTTAATGTTGTACTTTTGGGTTTATGTTGCATTCTGACCCTTTGATCTAATAGTTTGATGAGTCATCCGGGACTCAACCCGTTGAATCAAGCAACAACCATATTATAAATTAGAGATAATTTCACAAAAGTACAACCCACATAGATGCTTTTCATCTGCATAGCCATCGTTTTAACTCTTCATCCGTGTAGCCCATGAAACCCTCATAACATGACATCACTCTTCTCGCATTTCTTTTATTTCTCCGATTTGTTTATTTTCTCTTCCCAAATCAATATGACTATCTGACAAAAAACATCATGTGATTTTACAATCTTTATTTTTGTTTCTCTCTCTTTGTCTTCTTTTTGTCAGAAATTTACCAAAAAAAAGAGAGAACATTGTTATTTTATATATACACGCACACATACATACATATTTATACACAATTTTACATTGGGATACATATATATATATATATATATATATATATATATATATATATATATATATATACACACACACACACACACAATTATACGCACTTATACATATTTATACAATATATATGTAATATAAATAAGATACTGAAATATGCACCCTGAAATTTATGTACACTTGTATAGTATTAAACCTTTATTTCAATACAAAATTTGTCATATAAGCTTCCATAAAGACCTCTTATACACTAGTAATGACGTATATACACCCTTATACACTGAAAAAATATAATTATACATCATTAAACACAAATCTACGCACTTATACTTATTTATACATAATTATACAATATCGTATAAGTATGTATAAACACCAGTTATACAACATATGCATTGGAAAATACCTTATGTTAATCACTACACCTCTGTTTAACACCAATATTATCAACAAAAAAGAAGAAGAAGAACCAATCAACTCAAGATATGTCTAAATGAACCCCCAAATTCTTGAAAGTTGTCTCACCCAATCAATAATATTATTATTAATCAATAACCATCCGGACTGAAGCACGAATTCACAATGAAAACTTCCTGACCTGAAAACTTTAGCTTCGTCACTCGCAGAGTTATAATTTTTGGCTCATATTTCGATACCAAATACCAACAGTAAGAGACTCAAGATTATTAAAATCATTAATGGGTCAAATGTTTTCTGCCTCAAATCCCTTTCAAATGAACAACTTATTCATATTCTTCATCTTACTCTAGAACTTCATCTTTTTTGCATTATCAAAGTTTAAAGGAATTAAAAAAGGATTAGGGGAAGTTAGATCTGAAAATTAGAGAGGAGAAAAATAGGGATGGAAGATAGATTTAAATTTTTTAGAGGATAGAAGATGAAGATGGAAAATAGATCTAAAACTTAGAGAGGATACAAGGTGAAGATGAAAGATGTTGGTCGACAATAAAAAAGCGTGGAAAGAGAAAGAGAAAAAACAAATTAGGTTAGTGATTGAAAATTCTCTTTTAGATTATTTATAAATTGGCTATACCGGGCAAATTAAAAGAATATGAGCTGAGTTTTGTTGGAATATTATCCCAAGTGATAAAGAGAGTAATTTTTCCTATAAATTAACTCGTTTAAATGTGGACGAATTGGACAAATTACTAAAAAAATGGATTGGTTTTGTCATCTATAATAGGTTAGACTTGTAAACATTTCAACAGGCTGTTTTTCTATTTTTTTCAGCTTGATTTATGTTCCCATTAATTAATCAATCTGACAATGTCTGTTTTTTTTTTTTTTGGTTTTTTTTAACAGTTGTGGTGCTAGAGCTAGAGCTAGAGCTATGAAGAAAATTGGTCATGGGTGGTCTCTAGTGCTAAAATCGCACGTTATGCCACGTGGATTGCAGTAATTATTCATGAATTTTCATACTCCCTTGGTTTTAATGGCTTATAAAATTTAGGAGTAAATTTTGATGTAAACTTATCTGTATAACGCACATGATATTCATCTTATTCAATTTTATCTTCTAACCAATATTTCCCCTCATAAATGTCATGGACCAATTCCAAACTATTTCTCCTCCATTCATTGTATTAATTTAATATATTACATAACAAGTAAGGTGAAGCAGAATTATGTATTTTTAATGAGAAACAAATTCAAATAACAAATTCTGTACTTGTATTCTCAATGTAGTTGTTACATAATTGATTCTCATCCTATAATTGAAGACTTTCAATCTTCTTGCTATTTAAAAGAGCTTTTAATATGGAATTAAGACTTCGTAACGCAAAAAATAAGTAAGCAATACATTAGTCTTAACTTAGTAATTTGTAATGAAAGACCTTAATGACACAATCATTTATAACCCTCTAAAGGAAATGGGTTATGATTCTTTAGCAGCATTTCCCTATAGATCAAGCTACTCTTTTTAGAGCTTAACTTATATACATCGTTCGTAAAGATATACAGATAGTGTATTATAACATAATTTAGCAAGTTATCTGTTAATCAAGAAAAAAATCAATTTATTTTTACTCTTTTACCCTTATGTGCATATTCCTAAAAAAAATTCTCACTCCTCACTATAACTATGTGACCAATATTTAATAAGGATAGTTTAGTCATACTAGGTATTTTTGTATAGGATTTTGCATTTTCTTAATGGGCGTGCTAAAAAGAAACTGGTCACTTATTGTGAACCGGAGGAAGTATTAGCTTCACTTTTTGTTAATGGTTACATACAAATATTTATAACATTAAAATTCACTCAACCATTGTGTATAGAGGCGGATCTACCCGTAGAGTAGGGAGGTCATCAACCCCTGGTAACTTCAGAAGACATGTATGTATATATGTGAATATTCTTGAATAATATATATATCTTTTAATTGGTACCTTAAAACTCAGAGGTTAGACAACTCTATTTGTCGATTTGGGCGGCACAACTTGACTTTTAGTATCCTGTCTGGACAGTCCAGCATTCAGGGGAGGATCCAACTTAATAGGTGTGGATTCCCGTGAACCCAATAGCTTTTGCATATATCTTGTATATGTATCAAAAAGTCTACTAAATATTAATAATATTTAATTATGAATCCAATTACTTATTGTATATTTACTTGAGGCCGCTATGAAAATACTCCGCCACTTTGGAATGGTCTGCCTCTTATATTGTAGATAGCTCTTATTTTAGATGGTAAATTCCCATGATAGATATTTTTGGATATTTTCATTGAGATATTGGTTAATAGGTTGATTCATAAATGAGACAAAAAGGACGGACTAATCAGATAACACGACCCACAAGACTATGTCATCACAGTAAACTCCAAAACAATTGTCTTAAATTTTTCTCGTCTGTATATTTCTCATCTGTTACAATCCAACAAAAATAACGAAACAAACTTCTCCCCACACATTCACCATTTCTTCCCTTCCTTCTCCTCCATTTCTTACACTTCCCTTCATATTCTGTCGGCACCAAATTAAAAAACTTTTGTTGAAGAAAATATGGATTCACAAAATGATAATACATTCAAGAAATGGGATAATCTTTGTTCAGATATTACAGAAAAAAATCCTTTCTTACCTCCCAACTCGTTCTATAGTTATTGCTTCCTCTGTATGCAAAAGCTGGAATTCAATAATAACATCTTCTTCTTTAACCACCAAAATCTCAGCTACAAAAAAACCATGGCTTTTTTTCTGTGGCCAAAACAATATTTTTATCAAAAATAACCAAGCTTTTGCTTTTGACGCTAATGCAAATGAATGGATTATACTTCCTACTTCAACCCTTTTATCCCAAGATTTCTTTATTGGTTCAAATGGTTTTTTCTTTGCTACAACTTCTCAAAATTTCAGTTTTAAGCCAATTCTCAATGGTACTTGGGCTCAAACTAGTCCTTTGAAATTCTCTAGGTGTAATCCTCTTGTTGGTGTTTATTACAAAGATGGGTTAAATCAAGAACCAAGATTTATTGTTGTAGGTGGTGTTAGATTTGTTGGTGGATTAGTTGAAATTGAGGACCGTTTGGCTGTGGAAATTTATAATCCAAATTTGGATTTTTGATTTTAGGTCAGGTAATTCATCACAATGGTTATGTTCAGCTTTATTGAGAGGAAAATTCTATGTTTTTGGGATATATTCTTGTTTTATTACATGTTTTGATTTGGACAAATGTTTGTGGAGTGAAGTTCAAACACTTAGACCACCTGGGATTTTGTTTTCACTCTTGGTTTCATGTCAAGATTGTTTAGTTTTAGGTGGATTATGCAATTCACTAAATGGACCAAATTTTATACTTTGGAAAGTTGATGAGAAAACAATAGAGTTTAGTGAAATTGCAATAATGCCACAAGAACTAATGTATTGTTTATTTGATAGTGAAGAGGATGACAAATATGCTAGTTTAAAATGTGTTGGATTAGGGAATATTATTTATGTATGCAATGAAGAGCATCACAAGAATTACAATGCTTGTGTTTGTGAATTTGGAAATGAGTTTGGGAAATGTAGTTGGAGGAAAGTGCCTAATTTGCCAACAATTGCTAGTAAATTTCATAGAGTGATTAGCTTTTGTTCAAATATTTCCCTTGATAACATTCTTCATGGTGCAAGAATTTAAGTTTGACAAATAGCAGATATTTGATAGAATAGTCGAGGTGAAATACAAATTGATTGGATGGAACAGTTGAGGTGCGACACAAACTGGCCGAACATTGATGTTATGAAGAAATAATAAGTTTCTTTCTACAGTTCCCATTGACAATGTTCTTGTGGGTGCAAAGGAAATTCTTGATCTGGGGCATATTGTTCAATGAGTCTGAGTTTGGCGTAAACAGTAAAGTTGTTGTCATGTGACCAGGAGGTCAACGGGTTCGAACCGTAAAAATAGTATCTTGTAAAAATGTAGGGTAGGACTGCGTACAATAGACCTTTATGGTCCGACCCTTTCCTGGACCCCACACATAAAGGAAGCTTAGTGCACCAGACTGTCCTTTTGCTATGATCAATAGAAGCAGTTTTTTCATGCATAATAATATATACTACATGTTAAGAAATAAGATTGAGTACTAGTACTTTTTATTGTTTCCATAATTATATGCAATTATAGATAACCCTTTGGTTATGTTTGGTAGTGCTGCTTTTGTGGTAAACATGTTATGCACGTTGATGATTATTCTAAATTAAAGACTCCAGGTATCATTTTTAAGTTATAAGTAATCCCGTCTATTTCTTTTTTTCGTTATATTCAATTTTGGAAAGGGGAAAAGGTCAAGTTCGCCATGAAACTACGTAACATTGGTTAAGTATGTCATAATATCGCTATATAACAGTCATTCGCCATAAAAGTCAAATTTCTTATAGAACTAATTTTTATGCTATGTTATAATATATATTTTATATAACAATATTTTACTATAACAATTAAAAATATTCGGAACAAATGTGACTGCTATAAAAAAATTTGACTGTATCATATTTGCTCTTTATCTTTCGACACAACAAACTGCATCCTTGTATTCACCATTGTCTATCTAAATTGACACGTGTGATTTACGAGTTACATCAGCAGACACATGAAAAATGAAAAAGAAACAAAAACTATCTTTTACTTGATTTAAGTTCACGCGGTTGCGCAATGGCGGATTTAGAAATTTTAATTTCTGGTGCTTAACTATTTTTAATTTGGAAAGTACTATTTATAGTCCATTTGGCCAAGCTGTAAAAATCAGCTTATTTTGAGAAGTGCTTTTTTTCAAAAGTGTTTTTCTCAAAAGTACTTTGTAAGAAGCAGTTTGTGTTTGGCTAATTAGTTTGAAAAGCACTTCTGAGCAGCAATTAGTGTTTGGCCAAGCTTTAAAAAACTGCTTCTAAGTGTATTTTTCTCAAAAGTGCTTCTCAAAAAAGTGCTTGGAGAGAAGTTACTTTTTTCTGCTTCTCCTCAAAAGCACTTTTTTTCCTTCCAAAAGCTTGGCCAAACACCTCAATTTTTGGCCAAAAGTGCTTTTGGCAAAAAAAAAACACTTTTGGCCAAAAAGAAGTTTGGCCAAACAGGCTATTAGACCGGATGCTCAACTAATGAATTATTAGTTTTTCTATATAAAGTAATAGTGTTGTGTCCAAAAGCAATGGGTGCTTAAGCACCAGTGGCGGACCCAGGATTTTGTACAAGCGGGTTCAGACAGAAAGTAAAGTCATCGACATTATTTGACAGTAAAAGCAACAAAGGCATAATAATAGAATCTTTCCCTCTGCTCTTTATTTTGCTTCATGACCTTTTTGTTGTGTTAGTCTCTTAAAAAATGAAAATAATAAAAGTGAACAACATATCTATTTACTTTTTCAAATTTGACAATTAATTGAACTTTTTTTTTTTTTGAATTTTACGCTACAAAATCAATTCAATCTATAACAAAACAACCAACTCTATTTATTGTTAAATCTAACAGATTAACAAGCGCCGAAATATTCATTATAATAAATAATTCATGAAAAAAATAATAACAATAGAATAAAAATATAAACTGAAATAGGGTTATGATTTTAATAATATCAGAATTTGAAACTACGAAAATTAGCTAAATTAAACAATAATTAAGAAAAAACAGTGAGGGGCTACAATGAGGAGGTAAGCAGAATAGTTCAAATGAATTATGACATGCTTTTGGCAAAATAAAAAGCAGGAAAGCATTTTAGTGTAACAATCTAGAGTCGAACTCGAGATCCCACATACTTCCTAAACCCACTTGAACCAACTCGACCAACTATTGTTTCTATCAAATGGGTTCAACTTAATATACTTATCAGATATTGTTGTTTAAGAAAATATTTGCCATATATAAATAGTGAATTTTTTTGTAAAGCGGGTCCGCCCCTATTAAGCACCCATACTAGACAATGTAGATCCTACTTTTTATCTTGTTGCTCTTGCTTCTCTAGCTATTGTTCCGACTAAGACTTTCCTTACGCTTTGAGTCGACTGTCGGTTTTTTACTAGGTGGCCGATGTCTTTAATGCTTTGGTTTTCGCAGGAAAGGGTAAGGGAGTTACATTCACAAGCCAAAGAAGCTCAAAACCATAATCAAGCATCCTTTATTTACTAGTTTTGAAATTTCGCCCTTTACTTCTGGCTTTGATAAAGATAAATAGTCAAAAAAAATTCCCATAAAACGCGAGCATTAAAGGCTTTTGTCCAAATCGATTAAGTAGTTGTGATCATAATATAATTGTGGCCTATTCTACTTAGACATTGCTTGGACGAGCTACATGCAAAGAAACTTATATGTCCAGAAACTCTATAGTACTGTATTGTAAGTCAGGGGCGGTACTTCCATAAAGTAAGTAAAGTAACTGTTTTAGGCCCCACATTTGTGGATGCCTCATTTTTTGTTACACCTAATAGGCTATGTACAAGTATAAAAAAAAGGTGCCCTGAAGTGAAAAAGTTTGATTTGTTTCTTTAACAAATATACAGAAGAAGGATTTGCAACTATTATGATTTCTGCCAAGACAATTGCACTAAATTAATATCGAATTTTGTAAGAAACATATGATACATAGGAAGTAACAATTTGATGAGAATGTTGATAATAAAATCTCAAAATCTTTCGAAGAGTCTTGTGGAGTTGATTACTTTATACATAGTAGACAAGGCTATTTTTTTCACTTCAAAATAGATTTGAACAGTTCGAAGCATATGAAAATATTTTTGATTTTCTATTTAGCGATAAAAATTAATATCACTAGATTATAGAAATTTAAAAAATATTGCCTTAGTGATTATAGAAATTTAAAAAAATATTGCCTTAGTCTTGAATGCTCCTTAAAGCATAGTAATCAATTCGGTATTGGTGGTTTATATTTATTTTCGGTATTAAAAATATTAAGAAAATGGTACAATTAGAAGATAACAGTTTAATTGATACACTTGGTTAAATAAAAAGATTTGATTCTTTTTTCAATGCGTATATTACTTATAGAATAATGTTAATAACTCTTGTTACCGTCGCTTCAGCGGAAAAAAAATTCAAAATTAAAATTGATAAAATCTTACCTAAGTTCAACAATGTCTCAAGAAAAATCAAATGGATTAGCTATACTGTTAGTTAAGAAAGACTTATTAGGAGTTATTGATTATAAGAAAATTATTAATAGCTTTGTATTTAAGAAATGCTAGAAAAATAGATTTCAAATAAATAAATAATTTTTTTAAAAAAAGTTAAGGCCCCTCATAAATTTAGTTTTAGGTCACAAAACTCGTCGGACTGCCCCTATTATAAGTGTAGGTTCCTATAGTTTGAGTGAGATTGTCATAATGCAGAAAGAGGGTTACATGTTAAATTACTAGTACTAACCCAACACGCCTGTCAATGGAAGACCAAAATTCCATGACTAACTCTTCCCCAATTCGCCCTAAGCCTCCAGATATTTACCAGGCTATAAACATAGGCTTAGCCTCACCACCAGAATCTCAAGCTAGTTTCAAAGAAAAATTACTTGCAAGTGAACAAGTAATTGAGATTGATATGGATCATCAGGAGGAGGAGGCAATGTACGATTCGTATGAAATACCAAATTCGGAGACCGGGGGAGAACAATTAGCCAGTGGAGTGAAAGCTATCCAGCTATCAAACAATGAAAAAGAAAGGCTTTACTCCACTTGGAAATACTCCCTCATCATCAAACTCTTTGGGAAGAGGATTATTCACAACTACTTAAAAACAAAGATACATGAGCTATGAAAACCCACAGAGCAATTTACTCTGATTGACCTTGGATCAGATTACTTCATAGTAAATTCACAAAAGAAGAAAATATGAATAGTGTTCTTAGGAACGGGCCTTGGTTTGTCAATGGTCATTTTCTCTCTATGACAAAATGGCAACCTAATTTTGTAGAAGGAAAAGCACAACAAACATACGCCGTCGTAAGGGTGAGATTACCACAGCTACCAACTGAATATTATGATGGAACCCTGCTTAAACGCATAGGAAACTCAATAGGCACATTATTGAAAATTGATGCATGCATGAGCTCCACTCCGAGGGGACGATATGCACGACTTTGCATCCAAGTTCCATTAGAAGAACCAGTTATAACATGTATCCAAATAGACTCCCATCTTCAATGGATCATCTATGAAGGAGAAGGTTTCCTGTGCAAACACTGCGGCAGGTTAGGCCACACAGTTAATCGATGCCTCCACCACCAATGCAACAAATCCCTCAACCCATAGCCAATACAAGACAGCCAAGAAACAGCTCAAGGCAACAACACAAATCACAATCATCAGATGGTTAATGACAAATCAAGCGAATGGCAAACAGTCTCTTTTGCCAGGAGAAGAAAAATGCAAGATCAAAAATAAGGACCAAGAGAAGCCACGAAGGAGAAAGAGATACAATATAACACAGGTATTGGCATTACTATCAATACAAAGGAGGAAGGTAAATTTTCCCACCCAAATACTTTATTTTATAAAAAACCTATTGGGTCATCAAATAGCCACATTTATTCTAATCCCTATAAGGACAAAAATACCAGTCAAATAATATCAAACAAACACTAAAAAGAGAGCATTAATAAAAACTCTAATACCAGTACTGGAAACTATAGTTCCCTCACGAGTAACAAAAACAAGCATGCTTGGCTTTTAGCAAATCAATATACCCCTTTAATATCCAATGATCTTGCAACCCTCCCTCTCCCTGAGATGGAATCAGAGATGGCGCAAAAAATAAATACACAAGACCCTACAACATCTGCCTCTGCAAAACCTTCGATACAAACAAGAATGGCCTCGATAAAAGACACCCCACTTGGACATACCATGTCCCAATTAAAAGATCTTCATGCCACTAATCAGCTGGGCAATTACACGTCATTAAAATCTATGGAACAGGAGGGCTCTAGATCAGCAAATCCCTCTTCTGAATCCAACGCCTCTCCTCCATGCTCTTCACACTTGGCAACTTCTTCTGGCCAAGTGGACATGAAAGTTGATTTACTAAATCTGCATGCCAACTCTCACATGCCTATTCCCCCCAGTACAATCCTTAGTAAATATCACTCAACAGATACACAATCATTAACCCCTACAAATCTATCACATACCCCCCCCCCCCAAATATTAACCA